GTGGAAGTGGTCTCCAGCTACAAGTACTTGGGTGTACACATGAATGACAACCTCAGCTGGAGCAACAACACCACCAGCCTGATCAAGAAAGCTCATCAGAGACTCTACTTCCTCAGACGGCTGAGGCGAGCTGGTCTGGGAAGCTCAGTCCTCACCTCCTTCTACAGGTGTGCAGTGGAGAGCATCCTGTGCTCCAGCATCAACGTGTGGCATGGAGGCTGCACAGCTGCAGAAAGAAAAGCTTTGCAGAGAGTGGTGAAGGCTGCACAGAAATCTGTTGGAGTCAGTCTCCCCACCATCACAGACATCTACACCTCCAGATGCAGGAAGAGGGCCACCTGCATCATGAAGGACCCCACCCACCCAGCACACACACTTTTTGCCCCACTCCCCTCAGGAAGGAGGTTAAGGAGCATTAAGTGTAGAACCACTAGACTGAGGAACAGCTTCTACCCTGAGGCTGTTAGACTCATGAATCTCTAACTAGAATAATCACTGTGAAAAACCATATCATGTTGCTGCTGATCTGTTTCAATGTTGATGTGTTCATGCGTGCACATCTGCTCACAGACTCATGTTCATGTTTGTGGTGATGTTCAATGTTTTATGTTATGAGTGCTTAGTGTATATTTAGTTGATGTTTTTCTTAGTTCATATCTTAGATGTTATCACTGTTTTTCTTATACATTTTATTGTTGGATGTAACTGGGACCCTGTGTACATAATTTCGCTCCACCACATGTACCACATGAGGTGCGAATGACAATAAAGAAACTCTGACTCTGACTCTGATATAGTAGCAGATATGGCATTTTTAATATTACAATCCCTTTAATGCACAGTAATACATGCAATCTTTGGAGTAAAACATGTTGCTTTAGTCTGTCTTGTTTATTTCAGGAAGATCATCAAAATCAAATGCAAATATTCGAAACACAGAAAACGAGTTTTGAGCTAAGCTGATCTCTGTAGTCAGAACCCTCTGAAGGCATTTAGAACGCTCTGAACTAAAATATACAACAAAAGAAGTGACAAATCAGGAACACAATTCACTTTTAAGTCTACATAAATTAATATTTAAAGATGGGGTGATGCAGCACAAAAATATCACCAACTCCTGCTGGTAGAATGACATTTATTCTAGAAGTACATGCAAATCAGTTTGAATGGTGATATAGTCCAATTTTTACTTAAATGACACGTAAATCACTGGATTTACACGTCGTACCGACTATTCTTTCTCAAATAAAAGTATACATGTTCAAAACAGAATGATAAATATTTAGCTCAACCTAATTTGATCATTTATA